TTTTTCTTGTAATCAAACTCTCCATAAATTCAATTAAACCTTCAATAAAGTTTAATTGAGTCCATAAACATCTGATTTTGGACTTTTCTTACTCAAATTGAATTTTTTTTTGTCAACAAGGCTATAATCAGTCAATAAAATACTGCCAACAAGGCTATTTTAAGGTGCTCTAACATCCTTTTTCTTCACCGTTTATATTTTTTGATTTTTTTTTTATTTTTTTAAAGAGAAATAAATGTGAATTGAGGAATAACCCAAAAATAGGTTATGGCAGGTGTTATGTTATGGGCAAAGTTAAATTTTTCTTCAATGTAAAAAATATATTTAAATATTATTAATATTTAAATTTTTTAGTAAAAAGAAATTTAAATTATGTAGGATTGATACGAGTGACTTGAATATTTTTATAGGTTTAAAAATAAATGGAATATCTTGTAAAAATATAAATTAATTCAGAAAAAATTTCAAGGTGAAATCTTTTCTTTTAAGATTAAGATAAAAGCATATTAAATTGATTTGGATCAACCCGAGTGTTAATGTCAAATTTATGACCCAATATTGAATGACAATATTAAAAAAAATCAATTAAAAAATACAAAAAAACAACCTGAGTCAATTTATGTTAATCGGTTAAGCATTATTCTTGAATTATAAGGCAAAAATAACTTAATAGAAAGTAAACGAAACAAATTTTAAAATCTAATTTCTAGTTAAACTAATATTAAAGGATAGAATTAAAAAAATAAATTAAAAAAAAACCTGATTCAAATGGAATAATTCATCAAATTTGTAATTTGTATCATAAGAGTGAGATAATTAAATAAAAAATAAATTTAATATTAAAAAATAAATTAAAAAAACAACAAAACACTCATGTAAATATAATAAAAAGTCATTATGTATTGCTACAGTAAAAAGATAAATTAAAAAAAAAAAACAAAGCACTTATGTAAATACAATGAAAAGTCATTATGTATTGCTACAGTAAAAACTCTAAATATTTATTGAATTGTATAATAATAATAATAATAATCACTAAATTTTGTATTGGGTCCTTCAGTCCACTCCCAATTAATCCCACACTACTTCAGCGTGAAAATTGTGCCTAGAGAATGGTAATCTGCACAATTGGAATTGCGCATGTGACCCTCAACACCTCAATGCCGCAAGCAATTTCACTGTTAAATACACAAATGTCGAGAGAGCATGTGCTGGCCGTCAGCAGGGGAGGAGGGAGTTTGGAGAGATGGAATTATAATAGTGATGAAATAGCAGCTCATGAGGAAGTTTCCGTTTGTCGCAAGGAGAGAAAGCAACCCACACAGATGAATAAGCAAATAAAATCAGAAGCAAGAAAGCCGCCGTGGTTAATGGAAGTCAGGCACGGGAACAGTGCATTTAGATGATTCAAAGTCACTCGCCAGCAGCTCGTCGTTGTAGAATATTAAGAAAAAAATAGCATGCTGAAGAAATAATGTCGCTGTCAATCTGCTTAACGCATCAATTTACTCTTAGCTAGAACGTTGAATTTTGGTGTTCTTGATGTAACAATTGGCCAATGGGCTCTCTCAATGCCTCTGCTGTGAGAGAGGGACTGGAAGACGTACCAATAAATGACTTTGTCAACAATGGCAAGGATTCCGGATAATGTAACATGTAAAGCATCCAGAGCCAGTCCAAATTAATTTTGAAGCCTCCATTGATAGAACCCAGCAAGATTTATTTCTTTTAGGAAAAAAGGAAAGGCAAGCTCTTCAAACAAGATGTTTTCTACAAATATTGCATATAATAATATAGTTCGTTGATTGCATAATAATCAAACAAATGATCGGTGACATAAAAGATGATATATATTCCGTCCGGTCTCTTTTTTCTCTTCTTGTTTTGTCTGTCAAAGATATGTTATTCTCCTTGAGAACAGATCAAACACAACTAAGTTAGGTGTTAGGTGGGAAGTATAGTTATAGTTGTTTTTTAAATGGGGGAAGTACAGTTATAGTTGTTTTTTAAATAATTTTTAATATTAAAATATATATTACTAATATTTTTTATTTTAAAAGAATTATTTTTAATATTAATATATTAAAATGATTTAAAAATATTAAAAATATATTAATTTGAAGTAAATAAAAAATAAAAAAATTAAATTTTTTAAGAGTAATTTTAAGATATAAAAACAACAGGATAAGTTTTTTGAGTTATATGAATGAGAAATAAGAGAGTTCTTAGGTTATGTTTGTTTCTTGAAATTTACTTTTTGAGAAATCATTTTTTAAATTTTTCTATGTTTGTTTGTCATTAAGAAAGTTAGTCAACGAAAAATATTTTTCAGTCAAAGAAAAATTTGGCTTGGTTTCCAAAAAAGTGTTTTCATGGAAAATTTGGACAGAAAATACTTTTCAAAAGTTGTGAAAAATTTAGCAATGTCATATTATTTACTGATTATATCAATTTTGGTCCTCAAATTTTTTATTGCTATATATATTTTGTTTTGAATATTTATTTTTTAATTTCACCTCTTAAAATTTAATTTTTATATTAACTTTGGTTCTTATTTTTATAATTGTTATTTGTTTTTTTCTTATCATGTTTTTATTAATTTTTTTATGTATCAAATTTGATCGTTATTCTTTTGATTGTTATTTATTTTATTTGAAATAATTTATGAAATTTTAATTTCTTCATCTTTTATTTTTTTATTTTTTAGATTTAATCTCTATTATTTTGATTTTTATTTATTTTATTTAAGATAATTCATGAAATTATATTTTTTTTCAATTTCATTCTCATTCAACTTTTTAATTTATAACATTTATTCCTTATTATTTTAATAAACTTGAGAAAAATAAAATATTAATAAGTTATTTTCCAGTTTATTTTTCATGACATAAGCAAACACTAGAAAGTGTTTTCCAACTTATTTTATATTACACTACCAAATATTAGAAAATAATTTATTTTGTTGGAATTTATTTTTTTAAAATTTACTTTCTAAAAAAACTACTTTTCAACAAACAAATAAAACCTAAAATATTAACCATGAATTTATTTTTAAAAAATAATATAAATATCAGTAGTCGTGCCCCCTCACAACACGGTTGCGCCAATCCTAGCTGGGCAGCAATTGTTTTTTAAGAAAAAAATTGTATTAAAGGGAGAGGTTATTGACGCAACCTTTCAAGAAATATATATTTTATTTATTGGTTGACGATTCATATGTTTTTATTCTAATTTAGAATGATTCACCACACGTAAAAAAATTTAATTTAGGAAGAGAGACTCCCTAGAACTTGATAAGAGATTTTTTATTAATATAAAACCTTGAATAGCTTCTCGACCATGTGTTAATTATTTTTTATTGTGAGTAGAAAGTCAAATAAGCCTTTTCAATATATATTAAAAAATTATTTCTTTATCAAGTTCTTAGTTAGAATCTCTTTTCAAATTAAATTCGTATTACATGTGGGGCAATACGAGGCAGTGTAAATTATTGAATATTAGCATACAAATATAAAAATTATTTTTTTGAAAGACTGCACCTCTCTGAAGGACACAAACGTTTTTACAAAATCTTGATGCCCCATCGAAATTAGCGTGACCTTGATATATATATATATATATGTTACATCATTGGAAGTGACACTACCTTTTAGAATATATGCTATATTTTCATTTTGTTTTGCCAATATGCTATTTTCTTAAATAAATTTGCTATTTTTTTTAAAAAATATATCTATAAAATCGATGGAAGTGCCATGGCGTTCTCGCTTAAATTAAAAAGAAAATTGTAAGGGCTTTTAAATACAAACCGGGACAGAAAATAAACTGAGTCATTTATAAGAAGGACGTCCTAGTCATCCATAGATATTTTTATCTTCTAGAAGAAACTTCTTAGTCATTAATTAATCAATAAATTAACAAGGGTATCAGGATAATTTGACCTTAACACAGTTAATGAAATTGAATGGAGGTTAGATAGA